GAACTTTGAAGAGCAAGGTGATTCAAAAATAATACTATTTAAGATACAATTTGTTTAATGGCAAACAAAAAATATGAAATTTAATAAAAATTTAATTATTAAAAAATAAATTATTCAATATTCGGAGTCACCATCTTTTGGAACAGTATCCCGTTTGACTTGAACAAAACAATTAAAATTATGTATTTCAACCGTATTATCAATGGCAATAAATTTCCACTTACCTTGGCTGGCGATTTCAACATCAACTTCGCTGATAAAATATCAGAGGTGTTGACAACTTTTCTTTCGAAAAAATTTAATTTAAAAATTAATAATGATATCCAAGATTCCACATCAAAACATGGGATTACCATTGACGCGCTATTTTCCAGTTATGTAGAGGATATTAAATCTCAAAGTAATGTTTCTTATTTTAGTTATCATAAACCTCTAGTTTCAATGTTAAAAACTCCTGAACAACTTACATGTATTGTAAGATAATATAAATATTATTATTAAACCATATTAACTGATTTATTCAATAAAAGAAAAAAATGTGTTTTCTTATTTATCACCAGGCTCAAAAAGTGTAACCTGAATTAATATCAAAGAAAAAAAAACACTGCATAAAAAATAAATAAATAATTATAACTGCATAAATTGATAAAAAATGCTATGCAACAGCTTTATCGCGGCAGTCCCCGAGTGCCACACGTACTATTTTCGGCAATGTTATCATTCATATGTCTCCACTCAAAACTTGATTTTTTATATCACAACCTTTCTAATATTTAGAATTCTTCAGTTATATATATAAATAAGGCTGCCTGAACAACATATAATATATCATGATATATGTAAATAGTTTGTAGTAATTCTACTGTTTTAATTTAGTCAAACCTATTAGATTTGAATTGAAACCTGAAAATCACCAAAGGCTTGCAGCTTAAATCTTTTTCATAATACAGCAGATACTCCAAATTAGAAACCTCTGGTTTTGGGTGCACATACTATAGAGAGAGTAAATATTCGTGTCAAATAAAAAGTGGTTTTATCATAACGACCTTATCAAAAATATGAATCTCGAGCAAAATGTGTTTAAAGTTTCGTCTTCCGGGCCAACCGATATTGTTGCCACAAACTAAAATGCTTAAGCCTTTGAAAATAATATAAACTTTGCAAAATCTTTCTAGTCTTATATTTTTGAATACCTAAACTGTCGAAATATTATTTGTTTCACATTTCTAGACTGGAATACCCTATCATTTCAAGTTGATGTGTCTAAAGAGTTCTGACAAAAAATTTGAGCGGAAGTTAACTTATTTAGTTTTATATGCACCAAGCAATATCAAGAACTTTTAGACTAAGACATCGAAATTTCCTTCAATAGCTGTTGAAGAAGTAACTGAATTTTTCATGAGGGCGCTGCGTGGCTATGAACACCAAGTACCCGTGTAGGGAGTTTATCAGACATAGCATGTAAATACGAGCATTTATAGATCTAGATCTCTCGCTCTCTGCGACTAAAACAAGAAAAATTCTTGAAAATGAAACTACCTTCGATTCACTCGTTGTCTTAACGTACTGATCTCTTGTCATAAACAAATTATGTACATATAAAAGCTACAAAAGCTATCAATTTGAATTCCTACAGAGAGTATGTGGATACACCTTTAAACTAGTGAAGTCGCTATCTTCAAAGCGATTGCATTTTTTGTTTAGAGACATTATGCCATTTACTATATAAATGACTCAAATGGGCAAATGACAAAATATTGTCAAGAATTAAGTAAAAAATCTTTTTAAACTAAGAACTTAAGACTTGAAATAATTATAATGTTTTGAAACTAACAGTTTATTGAAACTTTTTGTCGCCGAAGAAGAATTTCTTCATCTAAAAAGATATGCAACACATTTGCGAATTGTCAGAGGTAACACGTATATTAGGCTGGGTAAAAACCATATTCTTTTAAAGTTTTCTTTTGCTATGATCAGATAAAATATTTTAATCTCGCATCCAACACTTAAAAATATTTCGTTTCATAAATTTTGTAGGAAATTAATACTCTACAAAAACTCTCTAACATTTTTCGTAAACCTAACTGCTTAAAAGAAATTAAGTGTTCAAGTTTGAGGTAAATTTAGGTTTTAGGTAAATTTTTATTGAATTTTAATACTCAATGAAAAAACTTCATTTTAAATTGCTAAACTCATAGTTTTGTAGCAAACTTACTGCACAACAATTTTATTTATTTAATTTTAATATTGTTTTTAAATTTTGTTTTCATTGATTTTTGACGATGGCTATCTCGTAAACGCTCAACCTAATCGAAAAATTATGAGGAACTATTTTGTAGAGCAGTAAATTTAGCTGCTATAATCCCTTAAAACGCAGCATAAGCCTTACACTGTAATAATACACACACAAATAAATAATTTATGAATCTTTATTTTATAAATTTTTAGTTCTTATAAAATAAAAAACAATGTCTCTTTGAATATCTTAAAAATAAAAACATAAAAAAATTTTAAGCTCCATTAATTAAAAGAAAAATGTTGCATATTGCGCTTGAGACATTGCAACTAATCCATAAAAAAAATTTAACACACAAATGTATAAAATATTTGGTGAAACATATTCCATAATACCGATCAAATTTGCATACGAATTTGTCTCATCCAAGGCACTCATACATTTATCGCAAAGCATTGCAAAGTGCGATGGCTTTAGATGCAATAAAACTAGCAAAAGTACACACAAGCAACAACAAAATAAAAATAAAATAAATATCTACGTATACATATATACCAGTATGCATGTATATGTTTATATGTATATGTTAACCATGTATATATGTATGAAGCATATGCATTTCAGTGGCAGCTTGTTAGCAAATCATAATCCACTCATTGCAGCCATTCAAATGGCTTTCAGTGGTTTTGTTTTGTATTTGTCGAGTACGTGGTATGCCTGCACACATGCATCGACCGACTGACTTACACACATGCATTTATGGTTTGGCTAAAACTATGCCAACTGTTATTATAGCCATTATGCACTTGTTGTTAAGTTTGTTCTTTTCGTTCCTCCCCCCCCTATACGGGCATTGTAGAGAAAAAATAATATTTTCCAAATTCATTTGACAACAACCAACTCATAGCTATTAAGTGGGTCCTAACTTATACCATATATTATTTGTTTGTGCAAAGGTTTACTTGTATGCAATAAAGTACTCTAATGTCGTTTGGGTGCCCGTTTTTATTGTCAGCTGGAGAAATTGCATAAAAAGCTTAACAGCTAACACAGAAAAGGTCGATTTTCAGCATGCGAGTTTTATGGCAACTGAACAGCTGACAATATCAACCTCAATTTTTGGACAATTAGGCTGGTTTACAATATTAGCGAATATACAGTTTTTATTTGCTTTTGAAATTTAGATTTTTTATACACATTTGTTTGAGAAGAAAATGTGTGCCAATTAGGTTTATTTAAATAGCTTAAACATTTTTCATTTTATTAAAGAAGCATGTAGTTCTGGTAATTTCGTCTTTTATTAACATTAATTTTTTATAAAAGTTAAGAGGATATATACGCAAACGTATTCATGAAATGAAATCCTCTTAAAATTTAACCTAATTTTCGTAGGTTAGAAGCTATTTGCTCCACACTGAATACCAAGCAATCCGATAGATGGCACTGTCGCCGTTATTCCAGGAATATGAAGTTTCTGATCGGATCTTCTAGTTCTTACTGTGAAGCTATAATACTCTGAATATAAATATGTACACATATATATATATATATATATATTTATATATTTTTGTCTTTTATTCATACATACTTACCCCCTTCTGATTTCAAGAAAACCGATTTTGCTTAAATATTATATAAGTTATATATGTATAGTTAAGAATATTCCCCGAAAATTTGAAGTTGAACCAGCAAATAGTTTCGGAGCTGTGAACATGTTATTAAGCATTTTTTATTTAGTGTAATCGACTCTCAAAACTTTTAACATGTTTTTCTCGAAACGATGTTTTTAGAGCCGTTGAGTACAATTTCTCTGACAGTTCTGGACCGATCGGCTTGAAATTTTTATACAACCCTCTTAGGTGTATTTTGAATATGATTTTCGATCGGCCGTGAACAGGGTATACATTTAGTTTGGCGCGAAATCCGTAACATGTCAGAGAATCTATAAAATATATATACAAATGGTCAGCATGGCGCGCTGAGTCGATTTAGCCAATTCCGTCTGTCTATATATACGCGAACTAGTCTCTTAGTTTACGAGAAATCGATCTGACATTTTTCTCACGTTTTTAGCTCTACAAGAAACTGTTTATTTGTCGAGACCACCAATATCGGACCACTGTAGCATATAGCTGTCATACAAACCAAACGATCGGAATCAAGTGTTTGCATGGAAACCTTTTTAATTTGACAAGATATCTTTAAGAAAGTTGACACAGCTTGTTATCTAAAGCAATAATGTAAACTCCGAACAAATTGTTTAGAAACTGACCGATCGAAATCAAGTTATTGTAAAAAAACTCTTGTATTTGTGAAGGGTATTATAGCTTCGCTGCAACTGAAGTTAAAGTTTTTTCTTATTTATTTTGGATTTCAAATTTTTTAATTTTAAGCAGTTTCTCTCCGCCAGAAAACTTTGTCGGAGATCGGCTACGGGATCAAGGGAATCCCAAATTTTTCAAAAAAGATTTGCTGGTTATTTAGCTCTCCTTTAATAGTAGCAAAAGCTCATACAAGTATCTAGCAAGGAATTGAATATAACATATATGCTTAATTATAGAATATATCAAATATTTCAAAAGTTTTTTGTTAAAAGAACGTGGTAATAAATATCAACCCGAGAATGTTTAATATGACGAAATTTTTACTACATGCGCATTTTTTGAAACAATCAACTACAAATATAGTCAAAATATAGTAATTAATGATTATTTTGAAACAATTTTTGTTTATTATGAAATGCTATATACTCTTTTTATTTCAGTGTTGAGCGTTGAGGGTGTAACTTTGATATTGCCACGAGTGAAACGTCAACATATGGGCGCATACTTATGCATAGCATCGAACGGTGTGCCGCCATCGGTCAGCAAACGCATAACATTGATAGTGCATTGTAAGTATGATTTACTTTCGAATATGTATTATATATATTATATATACATACTTATATATATTATATATAAGTTTATGATTTGTTTACTATTGATAAACACAAAGAAGAAACACTGCGTATGAGTGATCTTTAGTATATGTGAGTATATGAAAATCGTCATATATTGTTTTTCAAAATTAAGTGTGCTTTAGCTAGCAACAGACAAAAATCATGTTGTAGAGAAATTTAAATAACAATGCTGTAGAAAGTTATATTGCTTGCTTGGTGCAGAGCGAAATTGTCTAAAAAGGAAATTATGCAAAAAATGTCTCAAACGATTTATTGATGAATTAATATATCAATATTAAAGTAAATATATGATACTATTGAATGTTTTGTTTTAATTAAAATTTTAATTAGATTACCAAAGTAGATTGATGTTGATGAGTTGGACGGACTATGGAGAATTGTTTTAAATGTAAATTTAAATAAATTAAAATGTAAATAAGAATAATTTCGGTGATGAGTTTTGTCTACGTAGAGTATAGCTTAGATCATAACTGAAGCATATTCGCATATGGCTCATTCTCACAAAATATCAAATTAAGCTTGATTAAGCAATTAGGTAAATATTTTGAATTTATTTTCCCAGTTTTTTGTATCAAATATATTTTCTCTACTTGTCCGCTATACGACTAGCGTATGTTGTTAAAGCCAATGTTGCCACAAAAAAAATTGCAGATGAGCTTCAAAGGCTTAAATTTTGCTGCAAATACACTATTTTAAAAGGATGTCGGAGTTTATTTATATTAAAAAAAATCCAATCCTATTCTTTAAACTATAAATTTTTTTGCATAAAAACTAAGATAACAAATAAAAGGGAATTTTACTATTTAAGCTAATGTTTCTCTTCAAATGAAGAAATTGAGAGAAAATGAGAGAATGATTTTTAGAGTAATTCCTAGAATTTAGGTATATTTTTTGTTTATAATACAAATAATTAATTTGTTTCATAGTACAGTATTTAACAAAAAATACATTACGCAATTCTGGTTTGTAAAAATCATTAAGGACATCAACTTCGTGTTTTTTTATTACCAGCGTATACATATATAACTTTCTTTCCATAAAATTCTAATCTATTATTTTAAAAAAAAGCTGTAGTATTTACTTTCCACCAAATAACATATCTAAAATATTATGAAGCCTGATTTATTGGAAAACAAAATCGTGTAAGCATTGATTAAATTAAAAATAATAACAATTATTGTTATTTAATATTCGCAATAATTAACAATAATTACAATTTTACTTAATGTAAATTCAAGTTTATCGCTGTTATAGAAATAAATTTATATTTGGCAGCGATTTTCAAAAGTCACTTATACGCACAGATATGCAGAGTCGCTCTTATATTAATATACAACAAATAAATAGCAACACTACTATTTGATAATTCAGAAAATAAGCATAATAAAAAAATTTAAATTATTTTGAAGATTAAAAAGCAGTTTAGTTTCATAAAAAATAAATTATGCTCTATCGTTATTTTATTCGTATAATATATTTACTTCTAAATCATAAGTCGATTGCTTGTTATTGAAGGTTAGATAAACTATTCAAGCACTTCTAAGGTTCTCCATGTGAAAGCTTGCTATCTAAATTACTCTACGGAGAGGAAGAATAGAAATTAATCGTATTTTTGCATATTTAATATTTATTCACAAGTTAGTATTAAAATAAATGTTCAACCAAAGAAGAAAGAAGTACATATAATCAAACAGCTTTTATATAATAAAAATGAATAAGTAATGTGTTAGTTAGTAGCTCACGTTATATATTTAAATTTCCACACTTTTATAATCATTAAAATATTAGCATTATAATATTTTATACAAATTTTTCAGTCCCACCAATGATAACAGTGCAAAATCAGCTCATCGGTGCAGTGGAAAACAAAAATGTAACTTTGGAATGCCAATCTGAAGCATATCCTAAGTCAATTAATTACTGGACGAGAGAGCGAGGAGACATAGTGCCACCAGGTAGTAGTTTAAAATACAAATTTTCGAAATTAACAAGGCTAAAATAATAAATACTTGCTTTAGGGCGAGCATAGTTGTAACAACTATATATTTTTAGTATATAAACACAAAACTGATAAACATGATTGTGTGGTTTTATGAAACCACGTTGAATGTAAAACTTTTTACAGATTGTACATATGCCGTTGACAATTTTTGGAAAATTATTCGATTAAGGTTGTTAAAAGCGTATTTTTAATACAGGAAATGACAACAGTATACAAGTTTTCTAACTATAAATTGTTATTTAATTAAATTATTAAAAACAACAAAAAAATTATAGAAGAAACTTTTTTTTTTTTAATTAAAAGCAAGCGGATCAACAACAAAGCAAATAAATTCAAACAATTGGTAGCTTGAAAAAAAAAGAAAGGTATCAGTATTCATATTTGCAGGCGCATGTTGTTGAAGCAACAGCAAAAGCAAAGCTGTTATGCGACAGACGATATACAACATATAGGGGAAAACTGTGAGCCAATAGATAAAAATTTCACTATAATAAATTTATTTAGGTTGAATTAAAAAATTTATTTTGAATAATTTTAAATTCAATAAAATTGTTGGTCCATTTTTTTTTTTAATTAAATTTAATGAAGTAATTTAATTAAAATAGTTGAAATAACAAATTATTTTTTCAGTGAAACTTAATAAAAATACTTCAGAAATCGTACTTTAATCATTTAATTACTAATAAAAATATTGAACTACTTTTTAACTTATTTTTAAATTTCAATTCTTCCTAACTAGCCACAATATTAATGATGTTATATAACATTTTTACAATATAATATGTTTTTTTTTTTTGTTTTTGAGAAAAATCACAGTCGCATCTATTCATATTTGAAAGCAGGCGTATGTGGTTGAGACAACAGCAAACACTAAGCTGTAATGCGACATGCGACACATGCCATAAAGACTAAAAAAAATTTGGTACGATAGATAATAAATACAATAAATTTAATGAAAATAAGTTAAAAATTAATTTTCAATAACTTTATAAACAATAAAAATTTATGGTAACATTTTTATAAATTTAAATTTAACAAAATTTTGTCATTAAATTAATTAAAATTTCAAAAAATTCATTTCCACAAAAATTTAATAACATACATGACATGACAAGTTTTACATTAATAACTTAATTGTCAATAAAAATTATTAAAACACTTTTTACATAATTTTAACAATACAACTCGGCCTAACTATACACAATAGTATCTGTTTTATTCCACAACATTTTGACCATAAGATATTGATTTTTGTTTTTGCAAACCCTTTTGAAATGAAAATTTTGTTTTGCCAATTAATTACGCCACAACTCAGTTACTAACTTAATTAATAACATAAATGCATGCATGCGCATATACATACGCTCAACGATTTCACAAAATATGTGCCAGCAATGATTTAACTAATTAAAATCACTGTCAAGACAATGTGGCGAAAAGTTCATGCATAACTGCCACGCCGCAAATGTCCACACGTTGACACCTCAACAAAACATGCAGAACACGTGCACACATAAGTACATACATATATACACACATACTTACATACACATCAGTGATCTATGTAACGAATAATTAAAATTGTTGACACAAAAATAGTTGCACATGAAATCACCAGCGCAACCGCAGTACCTTAACAAAACCTCAGAAGGTTGTCAGATTCCATAAAATGTACAATGCATACATACAAGTATGTATTGGTAGTTGTTTGCAACAACAAACTAGCAGATTTATTACGAATGCATGAAAGCCGCAACAGAAAATTCGAATTAAATACGCAAGCGACAACGGCGCTGAAATATTGTCTGCTGGGAGAAAAATGTATCTACGAATGGAGAGTCGAGGTGATAAAGTATTTTTTAAAGAACCCGAAGAATAACTTATCTGCGCTATAACACTGTATTGTCACTAAAAGTAGCTTTATCTACATTTTTATACTTTCACCTAATCATTCTGTGTAATACCAAAACAGATGAATTGAAAAGCATTTGAGAAAGTTTTATAAATGCTGCGCGTACTTCATATACAGGATTTTCCAAGAAGAGTGATATGATTTAAAAAACACACAGACTAATTGCAACGAAAATTCAATTTTTTTATTTAGTGTGAAGTTGAATCGATACAATTAAGTTCTGAATATAAGATGATACAAATATCCTGCACGACTTCTTTTGAAGGAAATGAATTCGATGAAACCAATTTTCGAGTACCTTTTCGCTAAATTAAGTCGTATATCATGAATAGCAGGTTAATATTAACTATTTTCAAGCTTGAAGAAAGTCTGGTTTATTGCTAAAGATCGGTCATTTTAAATAACCTCATAAGAAGTAGTCTAATGCTGTTAATCATAACTCTTGGATGTCATTCAATGTACAAATTTCTGAAAATATCGAAATCCCAAACTTTTCTCGCAATAATTCGCTTGTTGCACGTACCGTTATGTTGGAACCAGATTTTTTCAAATTAACTTCCTCAATTGCTTTCATAAAAATTTGGTTACTATCGATCTGTACTACTCTCCATTGACAGCTATGGTGTCACCAGCTTAATTTCGAAAGAAGTATGGAGGAATGACTGCACCAGACCAAAAACCACACCAAAATGCCAATTTAGGTGCATGTAACGGTTGTTCATAAATAAATTGTGGTTGTTTTTATACTTGAATCCACAGTTTTGTTTATTACCGCACCACTTAGATGAAAGTTAGCCTCATCGAATAAGATTGATTTTCTTAAAAATCGTTATCGTTTTCAAGTTGTTCCAAGACAAAATCAGCATATTCACGACGTTTATGGTGGTCCAATGGCTTCAGTTCTTGAGTGAGAACAAGTTTATACTGATACAAATGCAAGCCCAAATCCTCTCTCAAATCCGCCAGGTTGTGGTTTGAGACAGTCCCAATTTTGAGAACGTCTTTGAATCGACAATTGCGGTCTTAAGCAACATTTGCCTCAACGACT